TGGGAAATTATCCCTTCCAATGAAATATGAAAAGTAATTTCTCAAGGCAAACACTTAATGATGTGGTAAATCTTGAACAATAATCATGAACATCCTAAAGACATACTAATACTTACATGGTGTGATAAATCCGCGTCCATGATCACGACAAAATTCCCAGACGCATGCTTCAAACCATGAATGTAAGCCGTTCCTGAAATTTTGCAAAACAATAGAACAAATTAAACCATATTTGAATTTTGGCAATTCTATTTTATTCAACTGAAAACAGAAAAATAAAAAAAACAAAACATAATCACATGCCTAATCCAAGCTTCTTAGCTCTAGCTCTCAACAGCTGCACCACAATAAAATACACAAATAAACAAATGAGACCCAAAAACAATCAAAACCAGCCTTGAGAAACATAATTTTTTTTAATGCAGAACACGATTTACTCACAATCCGATCTTCACCATAGAGTTGCTGCAATTGCTCGACAACCTGCTGAGTACCATCAGGGCTTCCATCGTCAACGATGATTATCTCAAAGTCAACGTCCCTGAACCCAGAAAACGATATATTTGTGATGGGTTTTCCTGGAATTTCATTTTCATGAATTCAATTGCAGAGAAACGAGTGATGGAGATTTTACCGGAGATGCTTGAAGATGAGGTAGACGAGGAGGGCAATGTTGAGGCGTTCGTTATAGGTTGGGACTATGATGCTGTACTTGTTCTTCTCCATTCTCAATTTCTCATTCACTCGTTCTAATTCATCAGCAATCTATGCATATGGGATCAAAATGGTTCATAAATTAGTTAAAGAATCACAAATCAATTTTGCCCTAATTAATCATTTTTACACAGAATAATTTCAGGGTCGCTTGGGCCTGCTTGACCTGCAGGTTGACAAAGGGTTAGTTAACCGTGGCGCCAATTTTGGGACAATATAGGCCCGAGGTATGTTCGTGGCTTGGAAAGACCCAAGCCTCACGTTTATGAAGGGGATACTACAGACACCCATAAAACTGATTGGTACACCCGGAATTAACAAAAACTGTAAAATTCCAATCTTTTACAACCTTTTTATTTATTTATTTATATTGGATTCATTGAGAAAAAAAATAATAAAAAAATAAGAAAAAAAAAAATCTCGACCACGACTAATGTTTCCTGTGTGAAAATATCGACACCATTTTAGGGAAAAATAAGAAAAAAAAATCTCGACCATGACTAATGTTTCCTGTGTGAAAATATCGACACCATTTTAGGGACTCAGATGGGCCGAGAAGTCCAAATATCTTAATTTGAGGTGGTGGCCGAGTTACATGAAAATTTTGTTTCAAAATTGTATAGAATGCTAGGACATCCCATGCCTACACGTGGCTTCATCAATGGAGATGGGGCAACGTTACCTCCATCACAAATGGGCACTTCGAAATCAAAATTGTGTGATTGTTTTTCAAGAATTATTTGGTTAAACGGCATCTAGTTTTTATTTTGTTGGAAGAGGTTTTGAGTTTTAATCTCATACAATTTATCAAAAACAAAAACATTCAATATCATTGGTATTTTTGTTCTTTATCGGTTTTTTTCAATCTTCAAAACCTCCCAAAAACTAGAGCGTGAGTAAGAGTCACAAAAGCATAAAGTTCAAAGAGTAGGTGAACCAAATGTCAAGCAATCCCCTCCCTTTTGCTATCCTTCTTTCTTTTGTGTTTTCCATCTGAAATGATTAATATCCTTGTATTGCCAAGTAAGGCATTCCTTTATTCCAATTTCTACATCCTCTGGATCAACTCTTTATATATCTATCTAGCTCAATGTTTTCCTCAAATCTCAAACACAAACCCAACTCACAAACTCATCCTAAACTTCCCCCCTTTGTGGCCTCTCTCAAAAACAATGACCAACGAGTCAGTCAAAAACAGCTGCCATGATGCGGGCAAGCACAAACAACTCGACAGAGAAATCAGAGACATGGTCTCTGTCATCACCAACCGAGTCACTGACCTCCACAAATCTGGCTCAGTCCACCACGAAGACGACGATGAAAACGGCGTGAGAATCATCACACTGGCTGGAAACAACAATGGAGCCTCATTGAGAAGTGAGCTGGATCAAGAGAACAACAACAAGCCAGCAGGGCTTCATGGTGGTGGCCCGGCATTTGGAGAGCAGCCTGATGGGTTGAGCACTTATGTGAACAGCAATTTCCAGAGCGTGAACAACTCTCTTATGATGGGTGGTAGCTACAGCACCAATGATCCCGGTGTTCGGGTGGATATCACTGATGTTGTGGAGCCTCATGGGTATCATATCAAGCCGGAGAAGCGTGGATGGAAGGGGAAGAAGAAGGAGAAGGAGAGGGAAAACTTCCACAGTGACCAACATCATGAGCATGATGATGAGTGAGGA